ATGCTTTTAGCTTGTGGAATATGAAATACCAAAGACGTTGTCTCTCATTCATGATGCGATTGGCTTAGAGTTGAGTTTAACGAATAGAAATCACTTGAGAATAGCGCAGTGGCCCCAACAGTGGGTTGGAAACGCATTTTATTGTACCTGGAATGCATATCTTTCGACATCAGTCTCTGATCCACTACTTCACAAGTGTCGATCTGCAGCTCAGTCGGTTGCCAGGATGATGGAATCTGTTGATCAGACCTTGATCTATTTGTATCCAGCCGAGCAATCTGTCTAACTGAACTGTCTTGGTCTTTAGCCTCTTGACAGATGGCTTCTCTAGTCATGTTTGCCTGCTCAACTTGACACAATAAATTCCACGCTTTGAGGGTACCATCCTGTCCGGCAGAGAGTAGTCGAAGTGAGTAGAATTTCAGCTGTTCGACGAACCTATCATTGCATGAGTGCAGCTCCGAACCGGCCGGTTGAGGGAAGGCCAGCATGCAAAGAACTGAACCATTATGGGCAACAAAGTTGCAGAGTTGCCTGAAGTCTCTTGTCCATGCCTTTGAGGTGTTGTGTGCAGTAAAAGAGCAATTCTAGTTATCTTTTATCAAATACATCTTTTTCAAACTTAAATTTATTGTATATAGGCTGTTTGACCTTATTTTCGCTACTTGGTCATATTGGTAGGAAGACTTAGAGAAATGCCCTTTGTCCGGAGTCCATTGTATGCATGATCATTTCCATAGTTGGAACGTGGACGTGGTACATTCCCAGACGTTTTGCCGGCATCGTCAGTGGGTATCGCCATTCTTACCATCACAAAACAACTTGTCAAAGAAACAAGTGAAACGACCAAACGTGTGCTAAACAGTTGTGGTATCTCCCCTTCTACCTTGGGCTAGCCACATTTCCCATATCCTCCTATCACACAATTTATACCGTAATTATTTCGATGTAATGTGGTGTGCTCGTTTGAGCAGCATTCAGGTAAACCATTCACACTCCACACTGTCGTTCTCACCCTCTTCACCTTTGTGCTGGGAATAATGATCAGAGTCTGCCATATTTGTATGCAGTCCTCCTTCCCTAGGTCTTATCACAGTCTCTCTCTCCGTCTGCTCTCAGTCTGGTCTACATATTTCACTCGACCCCCGCCATCCCATCTGCCGCAGCGTCTATCCTGTCTCTATACCTAATATCAAGTCTATGACTTGCTATGCCTTAGTCTCTTGTGTGCCAACCCACAAATGTTGTGGTACTACTTGCTTAGATTCGGTTTAATGTTGAACCACAGTGTTTGTGGGTTGGCACACAAGAGACTAAGGCATAACGAGTCATAGACTTGGTATTACGGATAAAAAGAAGATAAAAGCATAAGAAGCTAGATCTAGTTGATTAAAAATAATCGTGATTCAAGGATCACGTCTATGATCAAACATGTCTATTCTGTTTCTATGCATAATACCATGTCCATCACTTCCTACGTCCTAGTCTCTTGTGTGCCAACCTACAATTGTCGTGGTTCTACTTGACTTACTTAAGCTCAATGAAGACGTCTCCTCTTTGCTTCTAATTGTTCCTTTCTCGTCCCCCTGCTACTTCTTTTCCTAAAATTAATGATTCATATGCGGGAATAACCCTTAGTTTTCAGTTTCACCATAACTACAGACTGAAGGTAGGAATACTGAGGAGTTTGATCATCAGAAGCTTACGACTAAGGGACACTGAGTTCTGAGACGAGGAGTTTGTCAAGCTGATACGAATTTGCCTTAGTAACGGATACCCCAGAGAAATTATAGAAACAAATGTAGAGGTTATAAAGGGCAGATTTCAACTCGGATTTTATGAAAATCAGATCAGGAATCAGAAGGACGACCAGAAGTGGATTTGCCTGCCCTCATTAGAAATGAGCCATTAATTGCGACCGTAACTAAGGAAATGGAATATCAAGAAGAAAACACTTTTCACCATCTTCCGACGTAACACAAGAAGACAGACAAACTTGATTGCTCGGGAGTTTATTGCATCAAATGCGGGAACATTAAGCAGAAGTATGTAGATGAAACAGGAAGAAAAATCGGCCTACAAATCAAGGAACATCAAAGACTCTGCAGGAACATAAATATGAAAGGATCCGAAATAGCATAACGCATTGAACGAACGGGGCACGAAATTGACTGGAAATCGACCGAAGGTTGGCTGCATGTGTTGAAAATACGAGAAAACGCAAGATCCGAGAGGCCATCGAAATACTGACCGAGAGGAAGATCAAAGACTCTGCAGGAACATGGATACACATAGATCAGAAATAGCCATTGATATACTGACTGAGAAAAATCTAATGAACAGGAGACTTGAAGAAGGCAGGATCAGCGAAAACTTTGCATATTGCCTAAACAAACTCAGAGAAGACGAGGCTGCAGCAAGATCAGCAAAAAGAAGACGACTGGATCAAAGCATTATCATTAAGTTTAGGGAAGAATCAGAAGCAAAGAGGAGACATCTTCAGTAAACCTAATCATAACAAGTAGAACCACGACAATTGTGGGTTGGCACACAATAAACTATGATGTAGGAAGTGATGAACATGGTATCACATATAGAAATAGGAAAGACGCGGTGGAGACTAAAGCTATTTGACTAACAATAGACGTGTTTGATCAAAGACGTGATACTTGAATCACGACTATTGTTAACCAACTAGCTCTAGCTTCCTCTGCTTCTATCCTCTTTCTATCGGTAATACCAAGTCTATGACTTGCTATGTCTTAGTCTCTTGTGTTCCAACCCAAAAACGTTGTGGTTCAACATTGAACCTAATATAACCAAGCAGTACCACAACATTTGTGGGTTAGCACACAAGAGACTAAGGCATAGCAAGTCATAGACTTGGTATTAGGGATAGAGACAGGATTGACGCGGCGGCAGATGAGATGACAGGGGTCGAGTGAAATATGTGAACCAGGCAGAGAGCAGACGGATCTTATGGGGTAAGAGAGAGACTGTGATAAGACCTAGGGAAGTAGGACTGCTTAACAATATGGCAGACTCTGATAATCATTCTTAGCACAGGAGTGAAGGGGGTGAGAAAGCGAGTGTGGAGTGTGGAGGGTTCTCATGAATGCCGCTTAAAAAGACACACCACACAACATTTAAATAAGCGCGGAAAAATTGTTTTATTGAGAGCATGATATGAGGATATAGGAAATGTGAACAGCCCAGGGAAGAAATAGAGATACCATAACTATTTAGCACACGTTTGGTCAAAGGATCGGCTTCACTTCTCTCTTTTGACGAGTGGTGCTAAGAATGTCGAGACTCACTGACGATGCCTACTACGATGCCAGCGAAAAGTTCTGGGAATGTACCATGTTCACGGTAGGACTTTGGAACTGCTCCTGCATACAATAAATTCCGGACTAGGTGCGTTCCTCAACTTCTTCCTACTAATATGACAAAGTTGCGAAAACCAGGTCAAACAACCTCTAAGAAATTTGAGTTGCTGCTTATGAACTTCTGCAGTAAGGGGAGCAGAATAGTTTTATTCGCTCCATAATTTCCTAACTTCAATCTATTGACGATTAATTTTGTTTTTAAAATGTTTGTTGGATATCCTGCAAAAGTCCTATTAACGTTTGCGTCAGACAAGTTTTGAGGCAAGCCTTTGATCACCAAGATACTGTCATGGTTACGAAATTTGAGAAGATTCGGTCATTTCCTAAAATTTATATGATACATCTGCAAAACCATAAAATACACCATCAACCTATTTTCCAATAATTTCCCTCATAAGAATTATGTATGCCAAGTTGACTACAGAATGTTTTATCTCACTTTATAAAGCGAAATGTAAACTTCCTATTAAAGGGAGTACCAAACTTTTGTCCTATGTTGAATGGGAAAAGTTATTGCGAGAGATCAAAAATGGAATACTTATTTTGATCTTTGACGGTGATGAAAAAACTTTTTGTCGAGCGGTCTAAATTAAGACTAGCTAGGCATCTAAAATCAAAGTTCTTCTTTGCCTCTTATGGACTAGATGTAAAATGCCACAAATCTCTTATGTAAAATGATGGCACTCTATTGGCCTGTAGTGCAGACGAATCCACATCTAACTTTCTCTGATGCCGGCTTATTAGTTCGAGAGATTCTCCCTTGTTTAACGCAATTTATTCCCTCTCTTCTAAATTTAATTTATACCAATCGCCTTAGTATCAATGACAAAAACCCACTAAATTAGCGAAAACAATCTAATCCTGGAACTAATCTCAGAAGAAGGAAGCATTTCCTAGATGGTGAATCTTGGGAACAAGCTCTAAGTTCTACTCAAATAAGTAGGCTTGCAGAGCCCTATAAAGTAATGAGCGGTTTCAGCTTATTTATTTAATTATGTGCTGTTAACAGTAGCGAGGAAAGTATTGGAACCAGATAAATGTTTTGTGTATTAGAATATATGCTTCGCGAATTAGTTTCACTTAGGGCCTAGTGTTATATCAATCAGTGTTAATATCACAGAAAAGTTAAAGCATCAAGTATAAAATGACAGTAATTTCTGAAAAAGTCAATTTCACCTTTATTATGCCGTCTTTAGCACCAGTAAATACAAGATCAGGATTTTTGAAGAACATAACACAGTCGATGATTGCATCATGCAGGAGGTGGTCGCCAGCAATCTGAGAAGTTCTTTTGCCACCCCTAGGCTGTTCTAGGTCGTCAGACAGAGCAAACTGTTTGACCGGAACATGAACCCTGGAAATCCATGCGCCACGAGAAATTGCAAAAAGAAGATGCTGCCTGTTACAGCTGTCTACCTTCTCTAAACAGAGTCGGCTAATTGGGAATTCTCCGTCAATCGTCCAGATGGGCTCATGAGGAATTTCTTAACTCAGACAGGAGAAGAACAAGAGCTCTTACTGGAAGCATGTTGTTATTATCAAGAGAAGTTAAGAATTGTCCTATTTTCTTATTTTCCCGATTGTAACTATACAAAAGCTGCTTAACAAATTACATTTATCTATTTTTAACCCTCAAGTCAACAATTCATAAAGACTAGGTCAAATTTAGGATTATAGTAACCTGGCAACGAGCTATATTATTAGTACTAACTTCAAAAGATTTGTTTTTTACACAGAAATTTATATATTCAGCATTATATAGTAGAAATGGGTTGACCTCGTTGTCGCAACTTGGTATTGTTATCCGGGAGACTTGGTTGAACGCACCTGGCCCGAAGTCCTCTGCCATAGTTTTTATCATTATTCCCAGCATTAGACAGTGGACTTGGTACATTCTCAAACAGTTCGCTGGGGTCTTAACCGGCAACATCAGTGAGTTGTACCATTCGAAACAGCATGCAACGAACTCCTCAAAGGGACAAGTGAAATCAATCCCTCGACAAACGTTTTGCCTAAAAAGGTTACACTATCATTACTATTTCTGTCCTTGCCTATCTAACAACTTTATACCTTCCTATCCAATTCCCACCCTATCACAAATA